CTGTTTATTCAAACTATCTAATTTCAGATAATTTCATGAAATTTGGAAAAATGTCTCCCTTTTTGAGAAAAATGGCAAGGGGTTAGCCCATCATTTTTGGCAAAATCTCAGAAATTTTCACAAAGGCTTATTTTAAATCTTTTCATCTGTGGAAGGTGTCTATGACACCTGTTTATTTCAATTATGTAATTTAAGATAATTTCATGAAATTCTGAAAAATGCCACTTTTTGAGAAAAATGGCAAGGGGTTAGCCCATCATTTTTGGCAAAATCTCAGAAATTTTCACAAATACTTATTTCAAATCTCATCATCTTTGGAAGATGTCTGTGACCCCTGTTCATTCAAGCTATGTAATTTCAGATGATTTCAGACAATTTCGTGAATTTCTGAAAAATGCCCCTTTTTGAGGAAAATGGCAAGGGGTTAGCCCATCATTTTTGGCAAAATCTCAGAAATTTTCACAAATGCTTATTTTAAATCTTTTTATCTGCGGAAGGTGTGGAAGGTGTCAATTATGTAATTTTAAGATAATTTCATGAAATTCTGAAAAATGCCCTTTTTTGAAAAAAATGGCAAGGGGTTAGCCCATCATTTTTGGCAAAATCTCAGAAATTTTCACAAAGGCTTATTTCAAATCTTTTCATCTGTGGAAGGTGTGGAAGGTCTCAATTATGTAATTTAAGATAATTTCCTGAATTTGAGAAAAATGCCCCTTTTTGAGAAAAATGGCAAGGGGTGAGCCCATCATTTTTGGCAAAATTTCAGAAATTTTCACAAATACTTGTTTCAAATCTTTTCATCTGTGAAAGGTGTTTATGACCCCTGTTTATTCAAACTATGTAATTTCAGAAAATTTCAGATAATTTCATGAATTTCTGAAAAATGCCCCTTTTTTGAGGGAAATGGCAAGGGGTTAGTTAGCCCATCATTTTTGGCAAAATCGCAGAAATTTTCACAAAGGCTTATTTTAAATCTTTTCATCTGTGGAAGGTGTCTATGCCACCTGTTTATTTCAATTATGTAATTTAAGATAATTTCATGAAATTCTGAAAAATGCCACTTTTTGAGAAAAATGGCAAGGGGTTAGCCCATCATTTTTGGCAAAATCTCAGAAATTTTCACAAATGCTTATTTTAAATCTTTTTCTCTGTGGAAGGTGTGGAAGGTGTCAATTATGTAATTTAAGATAATTTCATGAAATTCTGAAAAATGCCCCTTTTTGAGAAAAATGGCAAGGGGTTAGCCCATCATTTTTGGCAAAATCTCAGAAATTTTCACAAATGCATATTTCAAATCTTTTCATCTGTTGAAGGTGCGAAAGGTGTCAATTATGTAATTTAAGATAATTTCATGAAATTCTGAAAAATGCCCCTTTTTGAGAAAAATGGCAAGGGGTTAGCCCATCATTTTTGGCAAAATCTCAGAAATTTCCACAAATACTTATTTCAAATCTTTTCATCTTTGGAAGATGTCTGTGACCCCTGTTCATTCAAGCTATGTAATTTCAGATGATTTCAGATAATTTCATGAATTTCTGAAAAATGCCCTTTTTTGAGAAAAATGGCAAGGGGTTAGCCCATCATTTTTGGCAAAATCTCAGAAATTTTCACAAAGGCTTATTTTAAATCTTTTCATCTGTGGAAGGTGTCTATGACACCTGTTTATTTCAATTATGTAATTTAAGATAATTTCATGAAATTCTGAAAAATGCCCCTTTTTGAGAAAAATGGCAAGGGGTTAGCCCATCATTTTTGGCAAAATCTCAGAAATTTTCACAAATACTTATTTCAAATCTCATCATCTTTGGAAGATGTCTGTGACCCCTGTTCATTCAAGCTATGTAATTTCAGATGATTTCAGACAATTTCGTGAATTTCTGAAAAATGCCCCTTTTTGAGGAAAATGGCAAGGGGTTAGCCCATCATTTTTGGCAAAATCTCAGAAATTTTCACAAATGCTTATTTTAAATCTTTTTATCTGTGGAAGGTGTGGAAGGTGTCAATTATGTAATTTTAAGATAATTTCATGAAATTCTGAAAAATGCCCCTTTTGGAGAAAAATGGCAAGTGGTTAGCCCATCATTTTTGGCAAAATCTCAGAAATTTTCACAAATACTTATTTCAAATCTTTTCATCTGTGGAAGGTGACTATGACCCTTGTTTATTAAAACTATGTTATTTCAGATAATTTCATGAAATTTGAAGAAAAAAAAATGCCCCATTTCGAGAAAAACGGCAAGGGGTTGGGTTACCCATCATTTTTGGCAAAATCTCAGAAATTTTCACAAATGCTTATTTCAAATCTTTTCATCTGTGGAAAGGTGTTCATGACACCTGTTTATTTCAATTATTTATTTTATTTCAGATAATTTCATGAAATTGGAAAAAAATGCCACTTTTTGAGAAAAATGGCAAGGGGTTAGCCCATCATTTTTGGCAAAATCTCAGAAATTTTCACAAATACTTCTTTCAAATCTTTGCATCTGTGAAAGGTGTCTATAACCCCTGTTCATTCAAGCTATGTAATTCAGATGATATCAGATAATTTCATGAAATTTGAGAAAAATGCCCCTTTATGAGAAAAATTGCAAGGGGTTAGCCCATCTTTTTTGGTAAAATTTCAGAAATTTTCACAAAGGCTTATTTTAAATCTTTTCATCCGTGGAAGGTATCTATGACCCCTGTTTATTCAAGCTATGTAATTTCAGATAATTTCATGAAATTCTGAAATATGCCCACTTTTGAGAAAAAATGGCAAGGGGTTAGCCCATCATTTTTTAGCAAAATATCACAAATTTTCACAAAGGCTTATTTCAAATCTTTTCATCTGTGGAAGGTGTCTATGACCCCTGTTTATTCAAACTAAGTAATTTCAGACTATTTCATGAAATATCAAAATATGCCCCTTTTTGGGAAAAACTCACAAAGGGAACCTCTGGAATTAGAGGTGCCTCGTTCGGTAGGTTTTCCCATGTGTGACAGGTAGGACCCTATCGCCATTCAGCATCTGTCCGCAACTGTAATACATGCGCATCGTTGCCTGGAATGTACACACTCTACCAGAAGGGGAAATTGGACAACGTCGTGCAAGAAATAAACAGGATGAGCATATACAGTGTGAGTCAAAAAAAGTTTACACCTAGAAAATTGCTAATTTTTTTAAAGATCATCTATGAACAGTAAATTATTATACATCTTATGAAAGAGTGTTTATCCCAAATCATTTGGTATCATTTTTGTGTGGTATGTGATCACGCTTGAATGAACACGAGGCATTGTTTGCGAGAGTGCAAAAATTGACTTGCGCCAAAGTTGCTTATCTGATGTTTAAATAAAACAATTGGGATTTGGCGTGTGTGTGACTTTACTTCTGCAAAAAAGTATATGCAATGCATTTCATTTGATACATTCAATTCATTCTCTCACACCACTAATCCCAACATATTACATGCTGTGGGCATCACTTTGGCGCAAGTCGATTTTTGCACTCTGGCAAACAATGCCACCTGTTCATCCAAGCGTGAACACATACTTCACAAAAATGATTCCAAATTATTTGGGATAAAACAATCTTTCATAAAATGTATAATAATTTACTGTTCATAGATAATTTTTTTTAATAATTAGCAATTTTCTAGGTATAAACTTTTTTTTGACTCACGGTATAGTCTAGGAATTAGTGAAACAAGATGGCTTGGCAGCGGAAAATTCACAGTTGAAAAACATAAGATGATCTATTCAGGAGGAGTAAGACATGAAAGAGTTGTAGGGGTGCTTCTGGATCCATTCTTGGCTATGTTCTGGGCTTTTGGGCAACCAGCGAGGCAGCGACAGAGTCTTGTTGATCAAATTACAAGAGAGGATTATCACTAAATTACAAGAAAACAGAATGCATGATAATTTCAAAGAAGGGAGGAATACCATACTCTCTAAAGATCAACAACCATGGGCGTATATCCTTACGTAATACCTATTGTTCAGGGGGGGATGAATGAATAGATCATCCCCCCTGAACAATAGGTATCAATTACAGATTTACGCCCATGTCAACAACAATCAAATAAAGCAAGCCACCTCTGTTAATTCCCTTGGGACTACAATTACAGACGATGCAAGAGGCGAGCAAGAAATCAAGAGAAGGGTGCACTTTCAAAATCAATTTTCTCCAAGTTAGAAACATCTTAAAGAATAAGAAGCTGAAGATGAAGACGAGACTCTGCATACTCAATTGGGGCCAGAGAGTTGTGGCACTCCATGGTCGCCAACGTTTCAGGACATGGCACGTAAAGAGAGAGAGAGAGATTGGGGAAAAACGCTCAATTCACTTGTTATTCAATTCACCATAATATCAATACTACAACACAAAAAATAATGTAATATCAACATTTTCAAATTAAAGATAAACTTTAGTACTGGTAATGCGATTGCATTGTGAAAGAAAAGGTGTGGAAAGGATCAGAAACAGTTGATCATGTAGTATGTAAGTATTGGTTTGCACTGCAAGGTTCTGGAGTCATCAAAATCATAATAAATTTGACCGAGTCTTGGTAAAGTAACAAGCACTCACATAGAAAGCTATATATGGGACAACACACATGGTGTCGGGGCTAGTACTACCTTGATTTCCTTGTCTTTCTATGCTCATTACTCAGCCAGTATACATTTTCTTCCAAAATTGTTTGGAACATGTCATTTATTTGTAATCTTGAACATTCAGTGTAAGTTTCGTTTGATTCTGTGAGAATTATTATTTTTTTTTTTACCAGTACTGGAGTTTATCTTTAAGAGGAGTCACTTTTATAATCATCAATACTATGACATTATAATTTATCATAATAGCTATTGTTGAGATCTGACCAGGCCTTTGGACAAATATATCTGGGTTGAGATTATCAAACTCACTATTCATACATGCTGCTATAATGTGTCTAATTGAAGCTGTATTAAAGTAACAGGTAGATACCTTTTAAAATTCCTGGTGAGCCACCTTCACTGCAGACCTCCATCTGAGGACCATGGTCAGAAAGGAAGATAGCAAGGGTGTTCCTCTCAAGCCCCGCCTCCTTGATGGCTGACAGCGTCTCACCTACAGCCCAACTCATCTCATTCAGCGAATCACCATAGCGACCTGTCAACAAGAGACGATGAAAAGAATGAAAGACTTTGGAAAAATATGAATGGAGTAGTGATCTTGGATAATATGGATGCTTGATACTTTCATAATATTGAATGGCCTTGAGTGGGAAGGGGGAGGCCTAACATGAGTATTTTAAATAATTATGTGTTCCACAAAAAAGAAAAGCCTTTTTATTTCCTTCATTGTTTTCATTAATTGTAACCAAACCATCACCTAACATTTTTATATTAATTTGCACAGTAAGAGATAAATAATGAAAGAAATATTTAGTCCTTCCCAGAGCCTTTTGGGCTGCAAACATGTTGTACCCTTGAAATACGGAAATGCAAATCCACAACATGGTGAAAGAAAATTGCAAGCAGAAGACCAAAGTATAATATCATATTTAGTTTTTGAGTTGATCGCCACTACGGCGTAAATTAAGCGCACCTTGTTTATTCGAAAGATTTATTATAATTCACAATATTTCAGAGGTGTTTTTTTAATAATTTGTAGCGAACACCCCTACATCGGAGGGGGTGTCTAAAAAAATGGCCCTTCTGACAAAAAAATAGTATTTGGGAAAAAAAATTCAGAGGAAACCTTGAATCGACATGCATGTGATGTCATATGAAAGAAATTAAATTATCTACATTTTGATACCAATTTCAACGAAATTGGGATTAATCAAAATCACAAATTTAAGTAAGAAGATAATTTTTTGTGATTTTTTCAAAATATTGAAATTTATCAATAAATTGTATGTTCGATAAATCAAAATCGGAGAGGTGCAATTTTTTGTTACTTTACAGGAACTTGTCTATGTACAAGGCCAATATCCTGTGCACAGGAGAGGTTTATATCTTCTTTCAATAAAAAGTTATAGCAACCCAAAGTTATTGATTTGATTTCCACAAAAACAATGTTTTTGCCCACATGTGTATTAACTGGTATTAGTTGGTAGCTCAACATAAAAGACTGCCAGTGCTGCACAAAGAATAATGTAAATCAACTATTTAGGCTAATATACTTAATTTTCATATATTCCACCCTCGTCTACTCCATCAGAAGGCATGCAATGGTCAGATCACAACTAGAGAGCGGTTAAACAAAGTATCAAAGCTACTCAATAGTTGGTAAGTAACTAGGGATTTTAGTTGATTACTACGACCTGATTGACAACTCCCATTATAATTTTTTAATGAAAATGGGCCCAGAACTCTCGACTCCTCCTCATTCAAATAATTCATACATCAACAATATATGCGGATGTGAAATATCCACAATGAATCTCGAACCCGACTTGATACACATATGATATCCTTGGGATTTACCTTAAAAATTGATGTACTGGTATCTAATCAATCCATCACTTCTACTGGTACTTTGAACAGCATTTGTAAGATCTGGGCCCCGTCTAATAAAGAGTTGATATCAATCATAACCATGTATGTACATTCATATGGGGAAACTAGCCAATTTAAAAAAATTTTTTTTTTCATTTTTACCAGTTCGGCCCGAAAGTTGTGATAATTCAAATTTTTACAATATTTGCCACTACACCCCTTTCAAAGGGATATAGGGTTCAGGATCCATCTAATCGCATGTATGTACATTCATTATGGGGAAACTAGCCAATTTAAAAAAAAAAAAAAAATTCTCCAAAATGCTGAACCACCCCGGCCCTTACCATTTCGGCCCGAAAGGTGTGATAATTCAAATTTTTACAATATTTACCACTACGCCCCATTCAAAGGGATATGAGGGTCAGGATCCATCTAATGGCATCTATGTACATTCATTGTGAGGAAACTAGCCTATTCAAAAAATATAATTTTTTCCTCCAAAATGCTGAACCACCCCGGCCCTTACAATTTCGGCCCGAAAGTTGTGATAATTCAATTTTTACAATATTTGCCCCTACACCCCTTTCAAAGGGATATGGGGTTCAGGATCCATCTAATGGCATGTATGTATATTCATTGTGGGGAAACTAGCCTAATCAAATTTTTAAATATTTTCCTCCAAAATGCTGAACCACCCCGGCCCTTACAATTTCGGCCCGAAAGTTGTGATAACTCAAATTTTTACAATATTTGCCACTACGCCCCTTTCAAAGGGAAATGGGGGTCAGGATCCATCTAATGGCATGTATGTACATTCATTGTGGGGAAACTAGCCTATTCAAAAAATATAATTTTTTCCTCCAAAATGCTGAACCACCCCGGCCCTTACCATTTCGGCCCGAAAGTTGTGATAACTCAAATTTTTACAATATTTGCCCCTACGCCCATTTCAAAGGGATATAGGGTTCAGGATCCATCTAATGGCATGTACATGTATGTACATTCATAATGGGGAAACTAGCCAATTAAAAAAAAAAAAAAATTTTCCTCCAAAATGCTGAACCACCCCGGCCCTTACCATTTCGTCCCGAAAGTTGTGATAACTCAAATTTTTACAATATTTGTCACTACGCCCCTTTTAAAGGATATGGGGGTCAGGATCCATCTAATGGCATGTATATACATTCATTGTGGGGAAACTAGCCTATTAAAAAAATATAATATTTTCCTCCAAAATGCTGAACCACCCCGGCCCTTACCATTTCGGCCCGAAAGTTGTGATAATTCAAATTTTTACAATATTTACCACTACACCCCTTTCAAAGGGATATGGGGGTCAGGATCCATCTAATGGCATGTATGTACATTCATTGTGGGGAAACTAGCCTATTCAAAAAATATAATTTTTTCCTCCAAAATGCTGAACCACCCCGGCCCTTACATTTTTCAGCCCGAAAGTTGTGATAATTCAAATTCTAACAATATTTGCCCCTACACCCCTTTCAAAGGGATATAGGGTTCAGGATCCATCTAATTGCATGTATGTACATTCATTATGGGGAAACTAGCCAATTTAAAAAAAAAAATATTTTACTCCAAAATGCTGAACCACCCCGGCCCTTACCATTTCGGCCCGAAAGTTGTGATAACTCAAATTTTCAATATTTGCCACTACGCCCCTATCAAAGGGATATGGGGGTCAGGATCCATCTAATGGCATGTATATACATTCATTGTGGGGTAACTAGCCTATTAAAAAAAAAAGATATTTTCCTCCAAAATGCTGAACCACCCCGGCCCTTACAACTTCGGCCCGAAAGATTTGATAATTCAAATTTTTACAATATTTGCCCCAACACCCCTTTCAAAGGGATATGGGGGTCAGGATCCATCTAATGGCATGTATGTACATTCATTGAGGGGAAACTAGCCTAATAAAAAAAATTAATATTTTCCTCCAAAATGCTGAACCACCCTGGCCCTTACCATTACGGCCCGAAAGTTGTGATAATTCAAATTTTTAAAATAATTGCCCCTACGCCCCTTTCAAAGGGATATGGGGGTCAGGATCCATCTAATGGCATGTATATATATTCATTGTGGGGTAACTAGCCTATTAAAAAAAAAGATATTTTCCTCCAAAATGCTGAACCACCCCGGCCCTTACAACTTCGGCCCGAAAGTTGTGATAATTCAAATTTTTCAATAGTTGCCACTACGCCCCTTACAAAGGGATATGGGGGTCAGGATCCATCTAATGGCATGTATATACATTCATTGTGGGGAAACTAGCCTATTAAAAAAATATAATTTTTTCCTCCAAAATGCTGAACCACCCTGGCCCTTACCATTTCGGCCCGAAAGTTGTGATAATTCAAATTTTTAAAATAATTGCCCCTACGCCCCTTTCAAAGGGATATGGGGGTCAGGATCCATCTAATGGCATGTATATATATTCATTGTGGGGTAACTAGCCTATTAAAAAAAAAGATATTTTCCTCCAAAATGCTGAACCACCCCGGCCCTTACAACTTCGGCCCGAAAAGTTGTGATAATTCAAATTTTTCAATAGTTGCCACTACGCCCCTTACAAAGGGATATGGGGGTCAGGATCCATCTAATGGCATGTATGTACATTCATTGTGGGGAAACTAGCCTAATAAAAAAAATTAATATTTTCCTCCAAAATGCTGAACCACCCCGGCCCTTACCATTTCAGCCCGAAAGTTGTGATAACTCAAATTTTTCAATATTTGCCCCTACGCCCCTTACAAAGGGATATGGGGGTCAGGATCCATCTAATGGCATGTATGTACATTCATTGTGGGGAAACTAGCCTAATAAAAAAAATTAATATTTTCCTCCAAAATGCTGAACCACCCCGGCCCTTACAATTTCGGCCCGAAAGTTGTGATAATTCAAATTTTTACAATATTTACCACTACACCCCTTTCAAAGGGATATGGGGGTCAGGATCCATCTAATGGCATGTATGTACATTCATTGTGGGGAAACTAGCCTAATAAAAAAATTTAATATTTTCCTCCAAAATGCTGAACCACCCTGGCCCTTACCATTTCAGCCCGAAAGTTGTGATAACTCAAATTTTTCAATATTTGCCCCTACGCCCCTTACAAAGGGATATGGGGGTCAGGATCCATCTAATGGCATGTATGTACATTCATTGTGGGGAAACTAGCCTAATAAAATTTTTTAATATTTTCCTCCAAAATGCTGAACCACCCCGGCCCTTACCATTTCGGCCCGAAAGGTGTGATAATTCAAATTTTTACAATATTTACCACTACGCCCCATTCAAAGGGATATGGGGGTCAGGATCCATCTAATGGCATCTATGTACATTCATTGTGAGGAAACTAGCCTATTCAAAAAATATAATTTTTTCCTCCAAAATGCTGGACCACCCCGGCCCTTACAATTTCAGCCCGAAAGTTGTGATAATTCAAATTTTAACAATATTTGCCCCTACACCCCTTTCAAAGGGATATAGGGTTCAGGATCCATCTAATCGCATGTATGTACATTCATTATGGGGAAACTAGCCAATTTAAAAAAAAAAATATTTTACTCCAAAATGCTGAACCATCCCGGCCCTTACAACTTCGGCCCGAAAAGTTGTGAAAATTCAAATTTTTCAATATTTGCCACTACGCCCCTTTCAAAGGGATATGGGGGTCAGGATCCATCTAATGGCATGTATGTACATTCATTGTGGGGAAACTAGCCTAATAAAATTTTTTAATATTTTCCTCCAAAATGCTGAACCACCCCGGCCCTTACCATTTCGGCCCGAAAGGTGTGATAATTCAAATTTTTACAATATTTACCACTACGCCCCATTCAAAGGGATATGGGGGTCAGGATCCATCTAATG